CACAAAAACTGTCACACAAATGTTCATAGCAACTTTATTCAAAATTGTTAAATCTGGGGTCAGTGCTGTGGTGCAGCAGATTAAAGCCCCAGCCTGCAGCACCAGCATCCCATATGGGCACCAATTTGAGTCCCAGCTGCTCCTCTTCCGATCCAGCTCCTTGATATGTCCTGGGAAAGCAGTAGAAGATGGCCCAAGTCCTTGGGCCCCTGTACCCGCATGGGAGGATGGGAAGATGCTCCTGAATCCTGCCTTCAGATCAGTGCACTCTCTCTCTGGCTCTACCTCTCTGTAACTCTGTCTTTCAAATAAATAAAATGATACTTTAAAAAAAATTGTTAAATCTTAGAAGAAGCTAAGCTGTCCTTCAATAGAATACATAAAGTATGCTGCATTCATACAAGATAATTTTGATTAGCAATAAAAAGAAATAGCTATTCAGCAACGAAGACATAGGGAGGGGCAGATATTGGGACCCAACAGGTTAAACCACACCTGTATCCCATATCATAGTGCCACAGAAGAGGTTACTGCTCTTCTTATCCAACTTCCTGCTAATGTACCTAGGAACGCAGCAAATGAGGGGCCCAAGTGCTTAGGTTCCTGCTCCCCATGTGAGAATCCTGGATGACATTCCAGGCTCCTGAATTCTGCAAGTGCCAGTCCCAGCTGTTGCAAATATTTGCAGAGAGAGGAAGTACCACTTCAGGACTCTGCTAACAAGAGTCTCATCACCAGAGGCTGCCATTGTGGCACCGTGGGCTAAGCCTCAGCTTGCAACACTGGCATCCCATTTTGAAGTACTGCTTTGAGCACTGACTGCTCTGTTTCCAATCAAGCTCCCTGTAAATGTGCCTGCGAAAGTAGATGAGGGCCCAACTTCTTGGGTCCCTGTCACACATGTGGGAAACACAGATGGAGTCCTAGTATCCTGATTTTGGCCTGGCCCAGCTCCAGCCTTTGTGGCCATTTGGGGTGTGAACCAGCAGATGGAAGATATCTCTTTCTCTGTCTCTTTCATGCTTTCACTCTAGTTCCCACTGTCACTATGATGCCTTCCAAATAAATAAAGCTTTTCAAAAAGATAAAAAAGGAAAAAAAAAAAAAAAAAGGAAAAATTCTACCTAAAAAAACACAGGTAATAAATTCAAAGGAATTTCAGAATCAGAATATTTCTATCCTGTAGCCCCTAGTATATTAATGATAAAGGTGATGGCTGCTGACATCACATCAAAAGAGTTAAGACACATAATACATGTCCTAAAGGGTGTGCACAATGCCACCTCTAGAGAATGTTTGCCAATAAACAGACAAGTAAGTAAACCTTAATCTGTATAAGTTTTTATTTTAAAAACTGAGAATCACTTATGATGAATGTCAGGTTGTCTGGTTCCTTATTCTCTTGTCTGTACTGCTGCATATATTTGATCATTTTAATTTTTAAAATATTATTCATTTTGCTTTTTAAAATGTTTGGGGTCTTTTTTGAAATACAGAGAAACAGTGTTGGGTGAGGAGGAGAGCAAGATCTTCCATCCACTGGTTGACTCCCCAAATGGCCACGACTACAGGGCATTGGCTAGGCCAGAGTCAAGAGTATGGAACTCATTCCTGGTCTCCCACATGGGAGGCAAGAATCCAACTACCTGGGCCATCCAGCTGCCTTCCAAGATGTGCATTAGCAGGAAGCAGAATTAGAAGCAGAATCACTAGGCACTCTGATACGTGATGGAGGCATTTCAAGCAGCATCTTAACCACAGTGCCAAATGAACACTCCTAATAATTTTGTAACAATAACTGCATTACAAATATGACGCCTCTATATAAGAAAAATTGTAGCAGTTTGGCAAAATAGATATGACTAAGTTGGTTCATAAAAAAAAAAAAAAACAGAAATCTTACAAGGAAACTAACACTGTAGTCCAAACCCAAGGCATCATCAAAAGATTTGAGGACCAGTCAGAAGGCTTATTATATCAAATGGTGAAGAAAAAGCTAATCATCATCTCACTTAAATACTTCCAAATCTTACAAAAAGACTGAGAATCACTAACCATTTTGACAAGCTAGCTTTCCTTCATACAAAGCCTAGATAAGGATACCCCAATAAAATGACACTTAAGAGGAGATGGCACTGTGGCATAATGAACTAAGCTGCTATCTCAATGCCAGCATCCTTTATCTGAACACTGGTTTTCATGCTGGCTGCCTCACTTATAATCTAGCAAGCCAGTACTGTCCCTTAAAGGCAGAAGAGGGTGGCTCAAGTACTTCAACCCCTGCAAGCTATCTAGAAGACAGCATGACCCCTGACCTCCTGGCTCCAGCTTGGAGCAGACCCACTTGTTGTGGTCACATGGGGAAAAACCAGAAGATGGAAGAGCTTTTTGTGTCGGTTTCCCTTTGTCTTTCAAATAAATAAATACATCTTTAAAAAATAACACTAAAGGGGGCCGGGGCTGTGGCACAGTGGGATAATGCCCTGGCCTGAAGCACCAGCATCCTTTATGGGTGCCAGTTCTAGCCCCAGTTGCTCCTCTTCTAATCCAGCTCTCTGCTATGGCCTGGGAAAGCAGTAGAAGATGGTCCAAGTCCTTAGGCCCCTGCACCCACGTGGGAGACCCAGAAGAAGCTCCTGCCTCCTGGCTTTAGATCTATGCAGCTCCAGCTGTTGAGGCCATCTGGGGAGTAAACCAGCAGATGGAACACCTCTCTCTCTGTATTTACCTCTCTCTGTATCTATGTCTTTCAAATAAATAAAATAAATCTTTAAAAAAATAATACTAAAGGTAAGTTCACTCACATAGGGAAAAAAATATCCTAAATAAATTCATAGTAATCCAATCTAAAAATTACTGGGGAAACAGTTGGGTTCAAGAAACAGAAAAATGAAATCACATTAGAAAATCCTGTCAACTGGAAATCACTATGTTACTGAAAAAGTATGTGATCATGTGTAACAGAAAACATCTCTTAAAAAAAAAAACACTCAAAAGTGGTTCATGATAATAACTTTCAGTGAACTTACACTATGGGGAAATTTCCATTTTGTAAAATCCCCAATTAACACAGTAAAGGTGCAATACAAAAGCATCCCCAACAGAGTACAGAGTAATACACAAACATATGGCATTACCACCATTGTTGTAAACTGGATGAAATGCATAGCCAATCCACATCATAACAATGGTTCCAAGTAAATAAGAGTTAAGAAAAATGAAAACTTTAATCACGGTAACCATAACAAAAAATGAAATCTTGATATTTTGCAGCAGTGGATAGAACTGGAGGATATTAGGTTATATATCATACACAAATCATAAATAGCATATATTCTCTTTTACCTGTGGAAGTCAAAAACTGTTGATCTGAATCCTACATACTGAGAAGAGTGCACAGGAAGGGAAACATTGAAAGAATTAGGTTGGAGAATCAGTATGAAAACAAAGTAGCACAGAAGGAAAAAGTTCTAGTGTTTGACAGCACAGTGGGTGACTACAATTTACAATAAAATTTATATATTTGATGAAAGACTGAAAGAAAGTAACTAGCAGCTATCAAACACAAAGAAATGCAAAGGAGATTAAAATGCAAATCATGCTGATTTGGTCAGTACATGCTGTACATGTGTGTTGAAATATTACACTATATCCCATAAATATTCCCATCTATAATTATGTTAACTTAAAAGAAAAAAGAAACACTTTCTTTCTACAAACAATAAAATTAAGTAAAACTATATTTACAATTACACTAACACAAAAATGAAATTCTGAATAATACTAAGTTTATATTGAGTTTTAACTTTAGTGAGGGTGGTTAAGGCGTAATCTGAAGGGAATACAAGTTGGAAGACTTCACTATCAGCTAGAAGAACACTTTGAATGAGTAACCCTCGTTCTTCTACTGTGCCTCGGGACAAGGCATTTCTCCTGCTGCACTGAAGCACTCTGAGACAGCAACTGAGACCCCACACACCCGTACTGTGTGGGCTATCAACACAGCAATGCCACCCGAATTAGCACTATAGGTCCACACGCTGTGCTCATAACCACCTGGAAGCTTGGAACCGCATGAAGACTGACTCATTAATCATCATCAAAAAGCATATAAAGAACTGAACACATTACAAGCAAAGCATCTCTGTTATCACATGTAACAAAGGTAGAACTTTTTTCCCTGAACGTTTTGAAACATCCAGTCCTGTGGAGAGAAGGACACACAGAGACAGTTGTCTCAACAAGGAGACCCCACGCCCACGCCCACGCCCACTCCTTGGGGATTTCGCTGGCACGGGCGGAGAAAAGGGACGGATTCCCATCAGAAGGCGAATTCCAGCAGTGGGCAGGAGAACCTAGAGCAAGAACTCAGAGGCTGCACAGCTCCAAAGAAACTGGCTCCCTCCCAGTCCGCCCTCCCACAGCCTAAGCCACTTACCCAGAGCAGCCAGGTCTGGAGGCCCCAGGGAGCGGTGGTCACATGAGGTGCACCTGCACTCCACAGCAGGTGGCTCAGGTACTGGAGATCGTGGGTCGAGGCCTGGTCTCCCGTCAGCAGAGAAGTGGGGCTCCCCCACGACGAGGAGTCCAGATGATACAGTGCGAGAGAACCGAGGGTACCATCCACACCCGAAGATGGACCCCACAAAGCCGCACACCTCCCCCATCAGCCTCGGGAGGACCCACACGGGCTCCACTGGACTTGCAATGGTGCGCCCACAAGAAAATGAGAGCTCAGGTCTCAGGCTGGCCGGCTAGGCTGGCCGGGTAGGCTCAGCTGTGAGAGGAGCCTGGGGCCCAGCTGCCTGACAACAAAAGCATGCCACGCCCCACCTGAGACCCTGAACCCCAAACCCCAAACCCGGAACCCGGAACCCTGAACCCGGAACCCGGATCCCGGAACCCTGAACCCGGAACCCGGAACCCGGATCCCGGAACCCGGAACCGCTCCACACTTCCCTCCCTGGAAGGAAGGAAGGAAGGAATTGCGGCCCAGAGCACCGCCCTGTCCGCCCTGGGGAGGGGCCAGAGGGCGTGGCCGGAAGTGGCCACCCCCACTTCCGCCTAAAAGGCCGTTGGGGGGTGCTGCCCTGAGAGGTGCGGCCTCTATCTGAGGCATCTTCACAGGTCTCTTCAGGTGTGTCGGCGCGTTACCTGGCGTACAAGTGTGGGGACCACCCCGCCGAAACCCACAATCCCTGCCCCTAGAAAGAGAAAGCACGAGAAATCTGCCCACCGCGCCCAGAGCCCGGGCGGGATTCGGCCCTGCAGCACCCCCGCCCCACCCCACCCGGCCTGCTCCCGCTCCCTCTCCGCCATGGCGGCCTAGGGAATAAAGGCTTCCTCCAGGGTTGGACTCGGCTCGCTGAAGGGGTTAGCCCAGGCCTCTGCAGCTAAGGAAGGGAATCCTCGGGACACTTGAGGGTTTGGGGGGCCCCACGGCGCTGAAGCCACAAGAGCAGAGGCAGGGCGAGGGTCCAGGACCCGCTGGGCCGGGGAACGGCGCTACACGGAACCCCGGACCTTGCGTTGGGAGGGCCCGCTGAGTCTGAGGACTCCGATGCGCCCGCGTAGTCTCCTCCAGAGAGTCGGGGTGTGGGAGCTCAGTTGCAGGGGGAGGCGGCAGGCCAGCAGAGTACGATTTCCACAGCGTGGGCACAATCAGCTTGAGGGCCCTGCTGAGTGCCGGGACCATGCTCACGCAGCGCGGCACTCAGGCACCCTGGAATCCTTCCTTACTGTCCCCTGGGGAAGCCCGGGCATAGACGTCTTTCTGACCCCACTGCCGCCCAGTTCCTCAAGGATAGCAGCCAAGTGGAGGCTTCTGGTCGGGGAAGAGTCACAAGCTAGCCTGAGGACAGACAATCTGGGGCTCCTCCAGGGCAGCTCCGGAACCCCAAAGACCCCAACTCGCTCTTGCATTTTCCAGTTTGCAGAATCCGCGCAGGTGGGACCAAGAGGTCCACACTCGGTTCCCGGGGCTGCCTGTCAGGTAAGCGCTGACCTTGGCGGGAGGGGCCGGGTCTCAAGTAAAGAGACACAGTGGTGGCCAAGGGGAGGAAGTTAAGGGAAGACTGAACAGCGGCTCCTGAATGCGGGAGCTGAGCTTCCTGACCTGCCCCTGCTCTCAGCCCTGGAGACAGACTCCAGGGCAGTTCTATCAGGCTGAGGCTGCCCCTCATGGCCGAACTCCAAGTCCATGGGAGGTGAGAGCCTTGAGGTGAAGGGGAAGCCTCCGGGCAGCAGATGGGAGCACTCGCAGCTCCCACCATGGACGAGGTGAGGACCTCGACTTCAGTGCTCACACGATGACACTCTCCCCCATCCAGGTGCCTGCCCTGCCCGCTCTGCTGCCAGCCCTCTGCCGCCTGCAGTGGTCATGCCTCGGGGACAGAAGAGCAAGCTCCGAGCTCGCAAGAAGCGCCAGCAGACCCGCAGTGTGGCCCAGGGTGCCAAGGCTGCCCATGCCGTTGGGGAAGAGGAAGAAGAGTCTCCCTCCTCCTCTCCCGTTCGTGAGGGAACTCCCCCAAGCTCCCCTAGATCCTGCGCTGCCCAGGGGGGTCTGAGAGGCCGAGCGTCTAGCTCTCCTGAGGCAGGGAGTTCTGATGCCAGTTCGGATGTAGATGAGGGCTATAGGGCAGGCTCTTCCCAGGTCTCCCTCAGAGATCCTCTGAACAGGAAGGCGAGTATGCTGGTGCAGTTCATCATGGAGAAGTATAAAAAGCGAGAGCCCATCGTGCAGGCAGACATGCTGAAGGTAGTCAAGAGAAAGTATAAGAAGCATTTCCCCGAGATCCTCAGGAGAACCTCTGAGCGTGTTGAGCTGATCTTTGGCCTCGAGTTGGAGGAAGTCGACCCCATTAGTCGCTCCTATGTCCTTATCAACAAGCTCAGCCTCTCCAGTGAGGATGAGGTCAGTGGGGAAAGGGTGCTGCCCAAGACAGGGCTGGTGATGACACTCTTGGCTGTGATCTTTATGAAGGGCAACCGTGCCACTGAGGCGGAGATGTGGGAGTTCCTGAATGCTCTGGGGATCTATGCTGGGAGGAGGCACTCAATCTTTGGGGAGCCCCGGAAGCTCATCACCGAAGATCTGGTGCAGGAAAATTACCTGGAGTACCGTCAGGTGCGCTTTAGGAGTCCTCCAGTCTATGAATTCGTGTGGGGTCCCAGAGCACATGCTGAAACTACCAAGATGAAAGTCCTGGAAGTTTTGGCCAAGATCAATGACACTGTCCCTCGCTGCTACCCTGATCTCTATGAGGAGGCTTTAAGAGATGAGCAAGAGAGAGCAGAACTGCAAGCTGTAGCCAGGGCCTCCACGGTTGCCAGGTCCAGGGTGGGTTCTAGGGCCAAGTCCCGCAGGTCCTCCCACACCTAATGAGGTCTGAGCAGCATTTTTCACTTAGTGGGAAGAGGGTAGTCAAAGCTCTAACTAACTCAAATGTTATTCCCCTGTTTTCAAATGTTATTCCTGTTCATTCAAAGCTTACATTGTTGCAAAGTCTGTTTCTGAATCTCATGGATCACACCTTCATGACTGTTTCTCAGATTTATGACAAAGAGTTTTGCTGTTTCTGAATAAAGAGTTTTGCTGTTTCTGAATAAATCGAAAGACCTTTAGTGTGTGTTTGATTAACCATAGAATAAGAAAACACAGCAACGGGATAGGTACATTCATGGAAACATGTAAGAACACGACAGGGTAACAGAATCGCAAAATGCTTAAACAACACTAGGGCTCTTTTGAAATTAAATGGTGCCCACTTGGATATGGCTTGTTTTCTTAACATGTGTATCAAATTTTGTGTATTATATTGGACTTCCTGCTCAGAGATGTCATTTTAATTTTATTATGATTCTCCAGGCATTAATTGAGCACCTACTGTTTGGAAATGCCCTCAATAATGCAAATTGTGAGAAAAGGATCCCACCACTGCCCAGATAATTTGAGTCCTGCAGCAGCTACCCTATGTTAGGAGGATAGGGAGATACTCCCCAAGACATAAACTTGAAAAAGAGGTTAAGAAGAGGAGACTGCAGATGGGAATAGCGCAGTGCACGTCATCTGAGGGGACCGCAGATTCTCAACAGTGAGCTGACCCAGAGCCTGGCCCTGCCATCAATGCTGGGAGCCTTGGGCAGCACTGTCAGGCTGATTTCAGCAAGCAGCCTCTCAAGGATGTGAGGTCCTTGTCCCAGCTGGGAGGTTTCTTAAGCAAGCAAATGGAGGAGGCCCAGCCCTACCAGCAGATAAGAGGAGGCCCCTGGGGGGGTGAGGGGGACACAGGAAGCCCTGCCCCTCAGAACTGACAGGACCACTCGCCCCTCCCCCACTTGCGGGCAGATCTGTGACACCAGGGCGTTGTTGCCAGGATGTGACATACTTACTTCCTCCTATGACGTCACAGAGGGTGAGGGACTCAGTCCAAGGGCTGTGGCCTCAACTTGGCAGTTGCAGGATTCGCAAGTGTTTGAAAAGGCCAAGGTGAGTACCCTGGGGACTAAGGGAGCCAACCCTCCGTAACAGTGGAACCATCACGGAGTCTTCGCCCTCAGCCTGAGCACACCTAGGACACGTATGACGGGATGAGAAGACTCTCGGTCCTGGGGGTGGGCAGAGGGTCTCAGAATGACTTTGTACTCAGTATGAGGGGCCAGGCCTCAAAGCAGGTGGGCTCAAAAAATACTGAGGGCAACTCCCACCACCAAATAGTAGGCCCATCAGAGTCTGGTCACTGCCCTGAAAGCCACGGGGCAGGGTTGTGGAGCAGAAGCTGCCAATCACTATTTACATTAGGGCTCTGAAAGACGAGAGCCTGAGTCTGCAGCCACCATTCACCAAACGGCATGGGGGTCCCAGGACCCTTGTGCAAGTGCAATGGCCCAGAATGAAGACTAGGGAATCCAAAGAGGTCAGGGTAGGAGATTCCCTACTGACAAGTCAGCACTGCAAGCACCTGGATGGGAAGCGCCCTTCATTTCCCTTCTGGGGGTTCCAGGGAGGGTTGAGCAATCCAATTCAGATCAGCAGAGGGAATGATTTCCAGGACCTGTCATCTGTTGATGTGACGGTCTTGAGTGTGAATCACGAGGTCCTCTCAACTCAGCAGACCGGCAGCCTGTGCGGCTGTCACGCAGTGTGCCTGAAGCACGCGTGGCAGGCTCAGCCCGAGACTCACGCCTTCTTCTTCCACAGGCTGCCCACAGGACAGGCTGACCCGGCGAGCACACGAGCCCCGTGTTCTCCTAGAGCAGGTCCCTCAAAGACGACTGCAAATGTAGCTCTCCTAATAGCCGTGGTGGAACTTCCGTGGTGAAGGCACACACACACCCTCTCAACCTCATTCTCCAGGGAGTCCACCTCACCTAGTCTGCACACGCCCGCCTGCTGGCCCTGACGACATCATCATGCCTCGGGCTCATAAGCGCAAGGGCCGTGCCCCTAAGAAAAGTCGCCATACTGGACAGGACCCCCAGGCTCACAGGGCAGCTCAGGGAGGGACCGAATTGGCAGAAGAGCCCTCCTCTTCTTCTCCTGTTCTTGAGGACATTCCACGGAGCTCATCTGCTGCTGTGTCAGGTACCCCTCCCCCAAGACCCAGCAGCCCTCCCTCCACCAGCACGACTTCTGGACGTGTTCCTGACACAAGACCTCATGAGGGTGACGACAGCCAAGGCGAGGAAGAGCAACAGCCACCTTCCTCGGGGGTCACACCCTCCGCTGACAGATCACACAGTGATGCTTTAGCCACGAAGGTGGATTTGTTGGAGCAGTTCCTGCTCTACAAGTATAAAATGAAACAGCCCATCATGAAGGCAGACATGCTGATGGTGGTTAACACCAAGTGCCCACACCTGTTTGCAGAAATCCTCCAGGGAGCCTCTCGCAGCATTGAGGCTCTCTTTGCGGTGGAAGTGAAGGAAATCAACTCAACCTGTCAATCCTATGACCTCGTCAGCAAACTCAAACTGCCCAACAATGGGAGGGTGCGCCCTGGCAGGGGCTTACCCAAGACCGGTCTGCTGATGACTCTCCTGGGTGTGATCTTCATGAAGGGCAACCGGGCCACCGAGGAAGACGTCTGGAAATTCCTGAACACCATGCGGATCTATGCTGGGAGGAAGCACTTCATCTACGGAGAGCCCAGGAAGCTCATCACCAAGGATTTAGTGAGGCTGCAGTACCTGGAGTACCGGAGGCTGCCTGACACTGATCCTGCACGCTACGAATTCCTGTGGGGTCCAAAAGCCCATGCTGAAACCAGCAAAATGAAAGTCCTGGAGTTTGTGGCCAAGGCCCGTGACACCGTGCCTACTGCCTTCCCATCCCAGTATGAAGAGGCTTTGCGAGATCAGGAAGAGAGAGCCCGAGTCGGAACTGCTGCCACCCCAGGAGCTACTGCCAGAGCCAGACTCAGGTCATGCACATGTCCAGCTGCTTCCTCACTCCTACTCAAATCCAAGGACATTTGCTATCCAGAAGAGAACCTAAGCCACCATGACAGGAGCTGCCTTTAAAATGGGGAAGAATCTCACAGACCAAGGGTTGGGCTAATGCAACATTAAAAAAAAAATTACCCATCTCGGTTTTCCTCATTTCCTTTAGTGTCTTGTTTTGTTAAAGATGCATTTTATTTATTTGAATGTCACAGTGATTGACAGAGAGGAAGAGACAGAGGAAGAGTGAAATCTCCCATCCTCTGGTTCATTCCCCAAGTGGCCATTATGGCCAGGGCTGGGCCATTCTCAAGCTAGGACTCATATACTCCAACCAGGTCTCCCATGTGGTTGGCATGGTTTCAACTAATTGAGTCATTTTCTGTTGCTTTCACAGGTATATTAGAACTGAGCCAGATCAGAGGCAGAACAGCTTGATTGTGAAACAGCACACTTATATGGGATGCTAGCTAGCATCTGGCAGGTAGCAGCTTACTCCTCTGTGTTATAATGACAATTCCTAGTCCTGTTTTGTAAATGTAAAACACTTACATCTTGAAATGCTCAGCTTAGAAACAAGTGAAGGAAAAATTTTATGTCAATATATTAGCTTGGAGGGTGTTTCAAGATGGCAGAATAGCGAGGGAGCTTACTGATTTAGTCCAGGAGAAGACAGTTTGTACTAGTGGAGATAGTGTAGTCTCAGGGATGAGTTAGGGAAAGAATGGCAGAGAAAACTCTTGTAATTTGAGGTATACCGTGGACCTATACAGAGGGTGTGGGTGCCCACAGCTCAGGACCCCAGATGCCGAGAGCCTCCACACCAGCCCTGGAATATGAGGTGTGAGGAGACCGTTGTAGCCCGAGACACTGGCAGAAAAGCAGCAGGAAGAGCCTAGAGGGAACAAGGTTTGAAGCCCTGTGGGGGAAAGTGCACCACCTAACTAGAGATGAGAAAAAATAAAAGGGATGATACAGACACAATCCTCTCTCTCCAATCACCTTACAAAGACAACAAACCAATAGAGAAGGCACCATTTTGGCCATACATAACAACTGCACTACCTCGTGTCTGTGCCCTGCAATCAGCCAAGCAGAGAAACCTGACTTTGGTGGGGAGTAATAACAGACTAAAACCTAGTAAATGTGTGGAGCTTCAGAACCGAGACTGTAAGAAAAAAAAAAAAAACTGAGGGTGTGTGGGAGAACGCACACTGTGGCAGAGACATTACATCATCTCAGGGGAGATGCCACAAGCTCGGGCAGCCCTGGCTACCCGGTGAGAGACATTGCAGGGTAATCTGAGCTTACACGAAGAACTGCACAGATCCTCTGTGTGCTCCTTGGGACAGAGCAGATGAATATTATACCGACTGGGGCTAGTGCAAAGGCACTGTTCGCCATTGAGGAGAAGAGCTTAGCTGAGTAGAATTATGTCCCTTCTGATTAAAAAGACAGAAGATTTAGCATGCCAAACCTGGGTGTGTCACCTTAGGCATGACCTTAACACTGAAGAAGTGAACGGAGCTTTCTGGCCACACCCACAAGAAGCCTCTAGAGATTCATTGAAAGCACACAGTCCACTTATCTACAGAATCATAGTACAATGAGAAAAGCTGCCACAGCAGGAAAAAAAAAAAAAAAGAAACCAACAAGTATCTCCACAAATGCCAAACAACAAATGCCACAACCCAAGAAACAATAATAAGGAAGACAACATGACACTCCCAAGACAACATTACACTTCAATACAAGATTATGAAGATAACGAGATAGAAGAAATGCAAGAAATGGAACTCAAAAAATGATTATAAGAATACTTAGAAGTAATCAAAAACAAACGCTCAAACTACTGAAATCCATGCAGGACATGAAAGAAAATCTCTCGACTGGTGCTGTGGCTCAATAGGCTAATCCTCCACCTAGTGGCGCTGGCACACCGGGTTCTAGTCCCGGTCGGGGCGCCGGATTCTGTCCCGGTTGCCCCCCTTCCAGGCCAGCTCTCTGCTATGGCCCGGGAGTGCAATGGAGGATGGCCCAAGTGCTTGGGCCCTGAACCCCATGGGAGACTAGGAGAAGCACCTGGCTCCTGCCTTCGGATCAGCGTGGTGCACCGGCTGCAGTGCGCCAGCCACGGCGGCCATTGGAGGGTGAACCAACAGCAAAAGGAAGACCTTTCTCTCTGTCTCTCACTGTCTACTCTGCCTGTCAAAAAAAAAAAAAGAAAAGAAAAGAAAAGAAAATCTCTCTCATAAAATAGAAATCTTAAGGAGGAATCAAAATGAAATGAAAAATTCAACAGAACATGAAATTGTGATATTGAAGAGAAATCAAAATGAAATGAAGAATACAATACAACAAATAAAAATGCAGCTGAGAGCCTTAAAAACAGAATCAGTGAGGCAGAAGAGAAAAAAATCAGACTTAGAAGACTGAGCAAAGGAAAGTATACATTCAAACCAAAGACAAGAAGAGGAAATTAGAAATATAAAAAATACTGTTGGGAATATACAGGATACTATTAAAAAAACCAACATTCGGGTTCTGGGAGTTCCTGAAAGCATGGAGAAAGAGAAAGGATTAGAAGGCCTTTTTAGTGAGACACTAGGAGAAAACTTCCCGGGTTTGGAGAAAGAAATAGACCTCCAAGTACAGGAAGCACATAGAACCCCCAATAAACATGACCAGAAAATATCCTCACCAGGAAACACTGTAATCAAACTCACCATAGTGAAACATAAAGATTCTAAAATGTGCAAGAGAGAAACACCTGATTAATTTCAGAGGATCGGCAGATGGCAGGCAGCGCAGAGTGCGAGGCTCTTTAGTTCAGCTGAGGGGAGGACCGTTGGCCGGGGCCTGCGGTACGCCGCTTCAGTGAGGGGCTCGACTGTGGCCACCCGGCTTGTTGCTTTCTGGGCGCCACTCCCCCCAGCCGGCCCGACGCGACGCGCCAGTAGTGTGACCCCGATTCTCCTTGAGCTCTTGGGTGCTGCTTTGAGCAGCGTCACCCTTTATACCAGAAAGCTGGCAGGCACTATGGGGAAAAAACAAAACAAGAAGAAAGTGGAGGAGGTGCTAGAAGAGGAGGAAGAGGAATATGTGGTGGAAAAAGTTCTTGACCGTCGAGTTGTAAAGGGCAAAGTGGAGTACCTCCTGAAATGAAAAGGTTTCTCAGATGAAGACAATACATGGGAACCAGAAGAGAATCTGGATTGTCCTGACCTCATTGCTGAGTTTCTGCAGTCACAGAAAACAGCACATGAGACAGATAAGTCAGAGGGAGGCAAGCGCAAAGTTGATTCTGATTCTGAAGGTAAGGGAGAAGAGAGCAAACCAAAGAAGAAGAAAGAAGAGTCAGAAAAGCCATGAGGCTTTGCCTGGGGTTTGGAGCCGGAACGGATCATTGGAGCTACAGGCTCAAGTGGAGAACTCACGTTCCTGATGAAATGGAAAAACTCTGAGGCCGACCTGGTCCCTGCCAAGGAAGCCAATGTCAAGTGCCCACAGGTTGTCATTTCCTTCTATGAGGAAAGGCTGACGTGGCGCTCCTATCCCTCGGAAGATGACGACAAAAAGATGACAAGAATTAAGTCTCTTGAGTACCAGCCCCGTCACATCCAACTGTGGGTTTCAAGTGAGGAGGGAAGAAGTTCTACTTGTCTTGACACCATAGAGGTGGCTTGAGAAGATGTCCTTTGAAGAGCCAGTATAGTTTCTGTGCCCTGCAGCAGCCCAAGTGCTTTAAGCTGTTCCAAGCTATGTAGTTCACACACCCATCCCAGTGGAGGGGAATGGGGAGAAGTGTTTCAAGGCAGCCCGTTCTGTGCTTTGCTGAGAGAAGCAAAGGGCCTTCTATGAAGGACAAAACTTGCAGAATTCGGTGTGTGGAAGAACAAAAAGATACTGTAGGCCTTCAAAGAGCATCTCCACAACCTACAGCCTTCTTCCCAATAGTGTTAACTCTGCGTTTTTACAGCGTAGCATGTGTGTAGTTTTTGGCTATTACTGGTGTAATATTTAGGGGTAGGAGGGATGGGATATGGAGAAAGGCAAATGGGTTGGATCATTTTGATTAAAATTTGGGGCTTGATTGGGGAAATGATGAAACAGTAGAGAGAACAACTAACTGAAGATTCATTTCTATGTCCAGGATATTTTACCTTTTTCAAAAAAATGTCATTGACACCATAAATGGGGACTGCGAGAGACTGCTTAAAAGCTGTGAATGCCTGAAACCTGTAAGCCAAGGTGTTCCCTGGCTGAGCTTAATGTCCCCCACAGAGGACTAAGCCAGTTCACAAGTTACCAAAGCTGCCATTTTGGAGATGCATACTGACTGGGGAGGGAGAATGTACACAGGCAGATAGAGCATTCTGTCTCAGAGGTGCTAATTCTTGAAATTAGACAAGAATACACTTTCTTTTCCAATTATGAAGTTGTATCAGCTTATCATCCAAACCACTGGCTGAGGTATTGGAAGAGGGGAAGAGAGTGGTACAAGAGATGGCAGAGTACAGAAAAACAAGGACCCATACTCTTAAGGTAGCAAACTCTTGAAGCCTCTGGTTTATATTGAATTTTGAACTCTGTTTTGTTTTTTGTTTTTTGTTTTTTGTTTTTTGTTTTTATTTTTTTGACAGGCAGAGTGGACACTGAGAAAGAGAGACAGAGAGAAAGGTCTTCCTTTGCCGTTGGTTCACCCTCCAATGGCCACCGCGGCCGGCGCGCTGCGGCCGGTGCACTGCGCTGATCCAATGGCAGGAGCCAGGTACTTATCCTGCTCTCCCATGGGGTGCAGGGCCCAAGTACTTGGGCCATCCTACACTGCACTCCCTGGCCACAGCAGAGAGCCGGCCTGGAAGAGGGGCAACCGGGACCGAATCCGGTGCCCCGACCAGGACTAGAACCCGGTGTGCCGGCACCACAAGGTGGAGGATTAGCCTAGTGAGCTGCGGTGCCGGCCTTGAATTTTGAACTCCGAAACCATGGGTGGCAGGGTTCAGTCACTGACAGCACAAGTTTCATTGAAACCATTCAAGGGTTGAATTTCAGAAGCCCTGGTCTCAGGAGAAGAATAATCATTCATACTGGGGAAGTGGTTTACTTTAAAACACCAAACCTTTTTTTTTTTTATCCTCAGA